TTCTGTCGAACTTCAATCTTGAAAATGGAAAGAACACCCTATCGAACTTCAATCTTAAAAATGGAAAAAACATCGGAAAATCTTGAAAATGGAAGAAACACCGGAAAGAATAAAAACAGTAACCGATGGCCAAAGGAGCAATTGTTAGTGGTGATGTGGGACCCATTGGATGGATTTGGTGCGTTTTTGCCAGGTAGCATGTGACATGGCAAAAGTTTTATGGCATGTCATCACTTTTTTAACTTTTGCTTTCCACATCGTCAAAAAACATATAAAAAATGCCACCTAAGCAGGGTTAACGGCTCAAATTAACAGAAGGACTAACGGAGTGCATTTCGTATAGTTGAGGGATCAAAAAAGTGCAAAAAATCGTTGAGGGACCAAAAATGTTCATTTCTTAAAGTTGAGGGACCAAATTAAGCATTTAACCTTCTTGTTTTGTCACTCTCTTGTTTTGTCACTCTGATACGATACGGACTGAGGGAAAAGACTGAATCATTTGACAGAACTTTTAAATCTACTCTTAAAAAATATGGGTAAGAATAAATCTACCTCCACAAAAATGAAGGGACATTTGGCATAAAAAATTATTGACTGATCGAAATCACTCATTATTTAACTATTGATGTCATCACCATCATGATTTCTAGTTAGCTCGTTCCAACGTGTCATTTTTTTACATGTTGGGGGTTGATGTGTACCAATTTCGCTCTTTTTTTAACACTATGTCATTTGTGCACCCTTTGTTTGACACTATGGTTGGGGGGCCCACTCTTTATCTCATTTTTAATCAATATTTTTTGGCCAATCTGTTTGCCCTAATTCAAGTTTTCAGAGTTGGAGGTTAGGGTTCTCTTCAAAACCACAAGGCTTTCTCTCATTTCTTCAATTCTTTCCTAAAATGAGTTGAGGGGAAAAGATTGTGGGTTTTGTGAGTTTATTCTCATGGAATCTTCCTCTAATTCTCGAGTTGGACCTTGTTGAGCCTTCGTTGGTGCAAGTGATGGTGAAATAGTGAGAATAGTTGTGAGGGATGTTGGGCTGGTTGAGCACAACTATGAAGGTCCTCAAATGTACTATGAGTGTGGCTTCAAGGCACCAAGGTGGACTTCATGGAGGCCGTGGAGCATTGGGAGACGATTTTATGGTTGCCGGCACTTCTTGAATGAGGTGCATTTGGAGTTTTGCCTTAAGCAAATGCAAAATTACTCATTTATTGTTTTTGTTTTTTTCCAATTTTTATTTACTACTTTTAGGTTGTTTAATGACAGGATTTGAAGTGCTCGTATTTTATTTGGCATGGCTTGGAATTGTCACATGAAAGAGCTATTGAGCTCCTGAAGCTATTGATTATTGAGAAAAAGGCTCTCACAATAAAAAATTCAGCATTGAGAAGGCAATTAAGAAATAGAATGAATGGAGGTGCAGTTGTTGAGTCAAGCCACACCATTTCTACATCAAATGAGGACACCATACAAAAATTGGATGAAATTATTGAGAAAACTGTGGCAAATGCTATGAATGGTACTATTGAAAAGAAATTGAATGTCTTGATTGCAGCCTTGGTTGGTGTTGAGCTCAAACAATTAATGGTTCATACTGCATTTGGTGTCTTTGTTTTGATGGTTGTGTATTTGATGTTTTGGGTGTTGTTTTAAGTGGATAGGTGGTGTTTCAAATTTAAATGTATGGCCTTTGTTTTGGTGTTTTGTGGTTATATGTGATGACCAAAATTTTGGAAGGTTGGAGAACATACCTATTAACCATTGTAATGTAATTAAATATGTTATGTAGCAATGGAAAAAGGGCTCTTCTACATTTGTAAAGCAATATATAAACAGTTAGGTTTTGATAACCTAAAAACTGTAAAATAACAACAGATGGTAAACATTTTGCGACAAAAAAAAAAGAACCAAATGAACATTCTGCTTCATAGCACCAACAGGTTGTTCAGATAAACATAAGCATAATATCAAAATAAGCTTGTTCATGAGCATATAAATACATTTTTCATACATAAATAAGAGTAAAACATTAAAGGCCAAATTAAGAATTGTATACAATGCCAACAAACAAAAAAGTAGTCATGCCATAAAAAACCAGCTTTCATGCTCTCTCAAGCCTTCTCCTTTCCCTTTCCTTTTGAACCTTGTTTGTTCTGCACTTGCTTGAATTTTTTTCTAGATTCCTCTCTGCCTTCATTGATGACAATACCAGCAGCCTCCATAAACTAAAAAGAAAAAAACTTAAAGTGCACATTTCATTACCTTATACATAAAACAAAAACAGTTATAAACAAAAAAAAGAAAAAGATATTTTACACAGTAAATATTGTTATTTTTTTTTACACTATCATTAAGCTTTTGTTTTGCTTTTCTTGTTGTTCTTCCTTCTTCCTCTCCCAAATAGACAGCATCACCTTTTTTACCAACCTTGGTGTTCTTTTTTGCTGCTTTTGGTTTTTGTGGAGGATTTGAACTCTTTTTACTTGTCTTCTTGACCTGCCATTAAATAAAGTTAATATATCAAAGTTACCTTGCATAAATAAAGTGTAACATTGCACAAATAAAGTGCAATAGCAAAGTTACCTTGGTTTGACTAGGGCGTGCGTCTTTTTTGTCTTTGTGTGGACATCCAACTTTGTTGTGCCCTCATTCACCACACACTCTACAAGTGTACACAGATCCATGCTTTGATAACTTGATCAATTTCCCCTTCTTAATTTTCTTAGGCTCATTCTTTGCCTTTCTTCTATTCCTTCTAGGGCACCCTGGCATTGATCTCATCTCAAGTGGCAAACATCCTCTTTTTGGCCTTTTCCTCAACACTTCATTCCCTTTGAGGCATTCTAGTGTTGTCCCATAGGTTTGAAGGTACTTTTCCTTTTTGTAGTACTTATCAACAAAGTACCCAAAACTCCAATCATTGAATCTGAATGTACAAAGAACATGTGGGCACGGAATTCTAGTAAGGTTCCATTCTCTATATGAGCAATTTCTTTCTTGGACATTGACCACATGTGTATGTTGTGTATGCTTATCAAACATAGCCAAGTCATTGTCACCATTCCACTAAACATTGCATTGAATTGACAGGTTATTATTATCACTCATCTTCTTTAGAACTATAGGTGCAATATTAGTTGCCCATGTATCAACAAACAACTTTTTGTCTTTGAATCTCTCCATGAGCCAGTCAATTAAAGTCCTAAACATTGAAATAATAGCCTTGCATCTTGCACCCAAAATCCATGAATTAAAAATCTCACATATATTATTATCAACCACATCAGACTTACAATGCTCATAAAAAAAGGCCTTACACTAGAAGTTACCAAGCAATTTAGCATAAGCCTCCTTAGACAATGCCCTCAAAGCATCCATTTTGTCCAAATAGTTGAACTCATTGGTTGCCTTACCTGCCAACCAAAATGCAAGCTTGATATCATCACCTTTATTTCGCCTTGCAAGATTACAGTAAAGGTGCCTTGCACAACATTTATGCACTATCAATGCTAATACCTCTGCCTTTGCATTAATAATGCCCTGCACACTAAAAAATGAAATTAATTATTATAATAAACACATATGTCCCTATTCATAAAAAATTAATAATAATTGTGATAAATACTTACTGGATGTCTATCAGAAATCATGGTATAACCTTGTCCATCGCTCAACTCTAAATCATGTGTAAGCTTTTCCATGAACCATTTCCAAGAATCATTGTTTTCTGACTTAACGACAACCCATGCAATTGGGTTCATCTGATTATTTCCATCTCTACCAACAGTAGATAACAGTATACCCTTGCATATTCCCTTAAGAAAACAACCATCAACCCCAAAGATTGGTTTGCATCCTTTTTTCTAACTATCACTAACTGTTTTCAAACACACATAAATCCTGC